AACTCTTCCTGCTCTGACATACATCAGGATGGGTGGTTCTGCTGCATGGCTCACAGTTACTAGAAGTTCCAGAGGTTCAAAAATCCTCTGATTGCTCTTATCTGCCTTCTGAGTTGGATGGATTTTACTGCTCTACTCCAATTTTTGGCCCATTGCTTATGCTGAGATGCATCTTGAGATAAGGAGGCTCTGCTTCACGCACTGGCCAGACAACCCAGGAAGCCTGAGCATGTCAATTAAGAGGAGGAACAGGCCACTGCCCAGATATTTCCATCCTAACAGCAATGAAGAAAGCGACCTGCCAGCATTCCAAAAAATGTTAGTCTGTGGGTCTCAGCAGAACCTGGCAGGCATTCATTGCTCAGCTCTCTCCATTTAGAGGGGCAGTGTCTCCTAATGATAATGGGCTCTCTGGCAGTGTGGGAAGCTGACAGGATCCGGCATTCCCGTTGCAGCACGTGGCTGCAGCTGCTTCTTCCAGGCTGGAGGTGGCATACAGGAATTGGCCCTCGAAGCTGTTCAGCCCAACAGCTGAACGTGCCTTTTGATACTTGCCCTCTCTGCATGCCGAGCCGGGGGACAGGGACTTCCCACGGCCCCACCTGCTGTTTCTGCAGGGTGTTTGGGAGATGCTATCAGTGTCTCCATAACCAATTGCTCTTCCCACACAGATATCCGTGTGGCCAGCTTTGCCCGTGGCAGAAGCATCAACTTGGCCCTGTCTCACAGAGGACGCCAAGCCCTCCGAGCCGTGGGGATGGAGGAGCAGGTACCCTGACAGGTTCTGGTGGTGGTGTCTCTGTGGTTAGGACACTGTTGACTTCAGGTGGTGATGGATGAGGTGTCTTCTGCTCCCCAAGCATGCAGGAGCCACTGCAGAGGTAGACCTGCTTTCATGAGGGTGGTGGTAGACCCCCTCCCAGGTAGACCTCTTCCACTGCATACCTGCAGCCTGGCTCTCCATTGCTTCATGACACAGCTGCCAGCAAGATCTCCCCCAGGAAAAATATCCTTGGGAGACCAGACACTCAGACAACACCTTCCAATGTTTACCTCCCTGCTGTGCTCTCCTCCCTCTTGGAGGTGAGGACGGATGGGGCAAGATCAGGTAGACTCCAAAAAAAGCTGATGTAATAAAGCAGGATGTGATAAAGGCAGCTGTTTTCCCCACTGATGTGTCCAGATTTGTATTTTCCCTCATATTCACGCACACTGTCTTCTGCCCAGCATGCTATGCTTGGAGCCCAGCACTCTTCTGTAGGGTGCTGGCTACTGTCTAACAATCCAGCTGTTGGCAGTGGTGG